AAAAAAAAATTAATGTTGGCGGGATCGAACCCCAGCCGTCGGCGTGATAGCCAAGCACGTTGCCAATTATCCAACGCACTTATTTTAAAAATATAATTTCATTAGTAGTATATCTTCAACATATTGAATCATTTTTTCCCTTTGAAATACAACAAAATGTGGCTTCCCCCTTCCGCTCGTCCTACAGTCGGCTAAATTTCAGTTAAACAAATAAAAAACAAAAAGCTTTCATACCGCAGAAAATAAAATTCACCTAATCAACAATCGGTTCAATCGAATTGTGCAGCCGGTATTTCAGGGACTTTTTATATCCACAGAGAAATTTTTCGAGGGAAGGAGAGAAACCACGCGCGAGTGCGAGGTTAGAACAGACTAAACTCAGTATCTTGATCCCCTTGACACTGAAATCCAGAAAATATTTACCAGGAGAACGAAATAATTTAAGGAAGTGATATCTGAGTTCCTCGAAACCAGTGATTATATTAACAAATACACACCACAAAAGGATCTAACGATCTCGTCTATTGATAAACGATCAATGATGGGGATGAAGAAGCTTCTGAAAAGGACACGTGCCCGAAAAAAACACACAGGCTCTCCTCTTCAGGGAAAGATCGTCAAGAATGAGGGGACCAATGGTTTCAAGATGCCAAAGCAGAAGAAGACGTTGGTAATTGCCCAGGAGATCAAGTTTGCAAGAGTTCTTGCGAGTAATGACAAAAAAGCCAGGGCAAAAATGCTTAAGAAACTTAGGGCTTGGATTACTGTGCGCTCCAAGAGTTCTTTTGGTAATTCAAACAAGAAAATCTACTATAATTACTTTACAACAGATCAATTCCACATTTTAAATCATCAAACATTACTTTTTTTTGAAATATTATTTTTACTATTCAAATAATAAATGTCCAAATCTTGTCCACATTGTATTAATGTTGTTTAATGACTGAATTTAATGGAAATTTCAATTTGGCTTTCAGTATTCACAGAAACGGATTTTCTGAGACTCTGGAAAGGTTTGTTCTACTGCATGTGGATGTCTGACAAGCCCCTGGTGCAGGAGGAACTGGCGGAGTCCATCAGCGATTTGGTGCACTGTTTCGAGAACATGGAATTCGCTATTCTCTACACAAAATGCGCCCTGAAAACCCTCAGCATCGAGTGGTTTGGTATCGATCAGTACAGACTCGACAAGTTCCAGATGCTGGTGAGGAGGATTTTCCGTCAGACCTTCATCCTCTCCAGGAAGCTGGGTTGGGATGTAGACAACATCAAGGAGATTGCTAAAGTCATTGAGGAGATTCTGCTGGACAGTAAAGGCTCCCTGGGCTTCAAATTCCACGTCACTGAGATCTTCATGGAGGAACTGGCCAAAGTTTCTGGTGGTGAAATCCCTGAGGAACGCGTCACGGAGTTGTTGAGACCCTTTGCTATTTATCTCGCCACGATCGATGACGAAAGACAGATCAGAAACGTCATGCAACATATCTTTAGGTATTTAATCTTCCAATCGGATGTTGGCATCGAGTACATGGAGAAATTCGACGCTTGGAGAAAGGTAATTTTTATATTTTCATTAATTTTTTTCATTCCAAAGTTTGTATCCATAAAATTCTGTTTAGCACAATTTTTATTCGATTTCCATTGGTCAATAGGCTGGCTACCCCACAGGCAGTATTGAAGCGATGCAAAAACTTGAAGTCTCCGACGATGAGGTTTCTTCAACCGAAGAGGATCTGATAGATTCCTCTCCCTCTCCTCTGGATCCTCGTGCAGGTCGAGTGAATGTGGATCTACCACAAATTCCCTTCGATCCCCTTCAGATCTCCAGACTCATCGAGGAATACAAATTTCACCCCTCGTCCACTACGAAAACTCGAAGACGAATCAAAAGGCTGATAAAAGATTTCAATGAGCTCTCAAAGGGTACAATGCCCCTGGGTGTCCAGAAAGTGGACATCCCTCCGAAAAAGAGCCCGGAAACCAATCCCAAGAAGGCTGCCTTCAAGTTCCTGGAGTTCGAGCAGGAGTTGTATTCCGATTCAGCGAGAAATCAAGGGAAGAAAAAACGAAAAACCGATCTAGCTGAGTTAAATCCCAAAAAATTAAAGATCAAGGAGTCAAAGTCTTTGGAATCTTCACCCCCTGATGCATCCCCTGGAGGAGTTCCCCAGAAATCTCCAGAGAAAAATCAGAAGAAAATGAAAAAATCCCCAGAGGACAGGGAAAAGTCATCGCCGAAGAAAAAATCACTGCAGAAGGAGTTTAAAGTGAAGACAACCAAGACGAAAGTGAAAAAATTGAAGAAAGTTAAGAAATCATTAAATGGGGAGCTGTTGGATGGAATCGACGACTTCACCAGCTTCAAGAAGTCCAGAAAAATACCGTACGATTTGGATAGCAGTTGGAATGTCGAGACGAGTGAGTCTTCATCTTCTGTGACACCAGCAGTCACACCAAAGACAACTCCGGAAGGAAAAAACGAGATTGCGAATAAAAAAACTGCGATTGTAGAGGATGTGAGGGTGGGGAATGTATCCTGGCTACAACCTCTGGCGAAAAAGCTCGAAGGCGAGGGTAGAAACACTGGAAAGAGCCCAGGAACTCCTGAAAGCATTACGAAGAAGAGAGTTAAGATTATGCTGCAGAAAAATACCGCCCAACACACGTCCGAGTACTTCAAACAGATCATGATGAGCCCTGAAATTCCTTATGATGCTAATAAGAAACCCAAGGCCGGAGTTCTCAAGCCTAGTCCACTGCCCAGTCCTGTTAATCCGTTTTACCAAAAATTATAAAAAATTCTGAGAGGTTTTGCGGAATTATCTTGAGATATCGTGGGTGTAGAGAAAAATGTCATTGGATTATTTAAGAGATCTCGAAATTCTTTACAATTAATTCCTATGACATGTTTTTTTCAGTCTAATACTTCCCATGATATTTGTGAAAGAAGAAAGAGATCATCATGAGAGAAACTTCAATTTTTAATTATTCAGTGAAACAATTATTTTTTTTTTAAATATCTCGAGAAGTACGGAGTTTAGAAAAAAAATTAGAAAAAGGAAATCGAATTTAACCATTTCGAAGATATTCGTGGAAAAAACATAATTCATTATGATAAATAATTTCTTTTTGTTTTTAAGAGTATCGTTTTTACTGTTAAACCGGAATGGTTTGAAGCTAATTGAATAAATGAATTACTTTTAAATTTTTCATATATTTGTGTTTGTCTTCTTGATTACACTGATGATTTTGGGCTACAGGATTAGATTAACTTGTACTCATAATTAATTTATACGAGCCTAGAAGGTACACATGATTATTGAGTAGACAGACAGGATTGTTTTTTACACGTTACCGATTTGTATTCTGACAGTTTTCACCCCTCAATTAACGTCGAAGGTACCCTTTAGTATTTACAATATTAAACTTAACTACATTCATTTATTTAACTGTTTAATTATTCCTAATTTATCCTAGATCCCATCTCAGAGCGAGAGACCAAAACTTCGGTAGAAGTTTTGGTTGATTTCCTTTCATTTGGCACGTGAATTCACATTTTCATGTTGCTTAAGTCGAAATTATTACTAAACATTCAGGAAAATATAATCTACCATCTTTATTATTTTTCTTGATTAATTGGGGAGTTTAGAGTCTTATAAGTGAGGGTTTAGTATTTGAAAGTCAAATACTGAAGGGAAAACATTTACTAGATTCTATTTCATTTTATTCTATTTCGTGTTATTCTCTTAATCATGATTTTTTAGATCTAAGAAATTTCTTTCTTGATCATTGAGTCAATGAATTAATAAATAAATTTAGTCATTTGGAACAAAAATCTGAAAAATATAGATCATCCAAGAATTTTTTTTAAACTCTGAGAATCTGAAAAATTAATTTTCTCATGATTATTAAAATTATATTCCCCGAAGGTTTCATTCAATTTTTCTAGACATTCATTCCACATTAATTAAATTTTTTTCTCAGTTTAAAATGGATTTCTGGTAAAATGGTGAATTTGAAAAATCTATTGTGACTTCCAAAAAAATTATTTTTAGAAGAAAAATCGATTGTCCATTTTCCAAAAAATTCGAATTTCGAATTTTTGTCAAATTTTTGACTCGAAATGCTGACGCTACATGTTCCTTTCCCAAAGTTCCAATAGAATTTTCAAAAAATTAATAAAAGAGCCCAAGGCTTTGTCTAAAAAATTGTATTGAATTCCTGAATCTCTCAGGACCTGTCTTGAAATTTTATTACAGTTCTATTCAAGACTTCTACGAAATTCTCAAACGTCCGTCTCTAAATAATTCCTACATCATTCAATATCACAGTACTGCCTTCAGGATATCAACAGCTCCTTCTTACTGCCCCTTACCCTTCGATAAATTTCTCCACTTCCAGTAATACCCTATCTCCAGTTGGCTGAAGCCAGTGCTGAACAGCGAGAGGAAGAGGAAAAAAAATGCATGTGCAACGGTCCACACCTGGAACCAAGTGGAGGTGATGAGCATGAGAGCAGCAGAAATCGTCAGGAGTGTCCAGAAGCCGAAGGCAACCTTCAGGGAGAAGGTCATGGGAAAATTCCAGGCGTCGGAGACGAAACGCTTCTTCTGGGAAAAGTCCTTCAGCATCTTCTCCTTGGCGCTCCACCTTCAACATGTCACAAGTATTTTTAAATTACAAAAAAAATTTTAAACTTAACGAGAATTTTTCTATTCATTCATTTTTGAAATTTCTTTTTAATTGGCTCTTAGCTACTGAATTATTTCACTCTCTCTCTCTCTCTGTCATTCATTCGTATTCAGTGAAAGTACAAATAAAAAATAATAAATTTAATAAAATTTCCACCTGTCTTCTAGCCATTTCCTGAGTTCCTCCTCACCGTGGGGCACCTGGGAAGCAGGAATTCTTTGAACGTGGAAGTGCACTTCTCTAGGCAACTTGCCCCGGATGAGGTCGACCTCAGATTGAGGGACATAATCGGGATACCCTACGGTGAGGTCATAGATAGCATCGAGGTACTCAGAGCCCTGGAGATGACGTGCCAAGTGGGAGAATCCGGTGGTCTTCGGGTGGAGGGTGTGCGAGTATAAGGGAAGATTATTCTTCTCTGCATATCTATCGGACTTGGATTTACTCGTCGGGGTAAGGTCTGTACCCTCAGGGAAGATGAGAAGTTGAGTTCGACGTTGAAGGGCCACGAGATAATCGAGGGTCCGGGACAGACGGTCCTTGTCTTTTTCCCAACGACGTGTTATGTAAAGGAATCCATTCATCTGCATTATCCAACCTAAATGCATTGATTAATTGAGTTTAAGAAATTTAATAATATTTTTTATTGACATTTATCTCATCGATTGCTTTTTTCAAAACATTTTTTTTTAATGAAAAAGAAAAATCTTTCAATTTCGTTATTATATTATAAATATTGAATTTCATAGTCATTTTTATTATCATCATTATCATTGCGTAATTAATTTGAAAATTTATTTGAAAATTTTTTTTTTTGAAAAAGGGAAACGATCATTCGCGCATTGCTAATTAATTAGGAAAAATCATTTTACTATATGCATATTCGTGAAATATTGAATAATAATAAAACTTAAAAAAGGTATATTTTTTTCGTGTCAATTTTATTAACCGTTTCTCAGAATTTTGAAAAAAAAAATTGAAAAAGATATTGGCATTTGCTTTTTAAATAATGCAGATGAAATTTGGATTATTTTTTAATCATACCAGGTCCTGGGATGTGACGAATGGGGTCCTTTAGGATGAATTTAAGTTTGTGAGCGGCAATATTTGGCATACAGGCCTGATACATCGCAGCCCACAGGAAATTCCAGTCGACTCGAGTTCGATGATTCATGACGAGTATCGCGGACTCATCCGGGGATATATGATCCCCCGATACTATCACCCTCACCCCAAACAACTCCAGCAGCGCCTTTGCAACAATAAAAGATTCAATCGCCACAAAAATCAAACAAAACACTGAATAAAAAAATGACTAATCATGATCTGCAAAAAGAAATTTCTAAAAAGACAACATTCACATTTTTTTTCTGGTAATTAATACAAAAATAAAATTGTTTATGAGATTCTTCAGCGAATTCCATTGAATTTTTATTATAACTTCAATATAAATTCTTGTAATTTTTTATAAAGACACTTTAATTTTGAAATATTTTGAATTTGGAGGGCTTACCGTGGGATAAAGTTCCCAATACGAAAAGAGTAAATCCCCGCATTTTCTGAATTTCGGAGGCGACAGAATCAGAAGCGGAAGTAGAGGACAAGCGATGAAAAGAAATCCTGCTACGATGCTTCCGTACCACAGGGCACAGTAGATTATCCCACAGACGAGCTCTCGCATCACCATTCCACTCTTAAATAATCAATTAATTAATCACTCACCTAATTAACCCGAAAACCTTTCCACCAGGAGAACCCCGCTGTTGGCCCTGATTAACTTGAAAACTCTCAGTCCCACGACAAAACTCATTGGACCTTTTTTGTATATCTCAAAATTTTCCACAAATAGTGTCTTATGACTTTTTCAGATAGGATGACTTATCGCCGAGATAATTCAGTAATCAGCGGCACGAAGTGCGGGAATAAAAATACGGTTTTATTTTCGGAATTTGGGGAGCAAATGTGGAGTCTGTTAATTGATTAAGGTATTTTGTGGATCAGAGGGATTCTGCCTGTTGCTTAGTTATTAATTATTTAGTTTTTGGGGTGTGTTGGGGATAATTAATGAGTGGAATCGAGGGAAATGTACCTCATTTTAGCAGCGTCGAACGTCGACTAATCGACTGACAAGATGATACTCTTGATTTGGCTTCCGTACGAGCATTTTAACCGCTCGGGGCTTCTTTCTCGTGTCGTGACATCCCTCCGACTACACCCTTATCCAACATTTCAACTCCACCCTTTGTAATTTTCTCTTCCAACCCCTCCGAACCCCCTCACTGTCGGATGCTGGAATGTACCAGTATTGATCTACTCTAGAGGAGCAGCCCCCAGAAAAATGGCTGATGTCAGTCAAACACATATTTATATTTGAAAATTTGTCTCGAAATTTCAGTCAAGATGTCATCCCACCACTGTCATCTGAATTTTTAATTCGGTGAATTTACTTTCGATTGGAAATCTCCACTAAATTTTTTATTTATCAAAATTCAGGAAAATTTGTTTTTGTGGAAAGAGATCATTGATTTTCATTGTTAGCTTGAATTTTAATTAAAGAATAACTCTGAATTGTTAATTAGATTTTCGATTCTGGAAATTGACTGGCGAGTTGAATTCTTTTGTTAACATTCTTGGGATTTTTCCGCACCTGATGAGCCTGGAAATCGCTAATTAATTTATTACTCGTTTAATTAATTGAATCGTTTCTGAGGAATTGTACGGGCTTTTCACATCACTTAAGAATTGTTTAAAAAAATCTATTCAATCCGAGATTAACTGAAACCTCTAGCGTTTTTCCTCCCTCAGTTTTCTAGATTTCCATCAATTTCCATGGAAAACCAGAATTAAATTTCTGTTGCCATAAAATCGTCAAAAATTTCTATCCTCCAACTGTGAAATGTCCTGGGATGTCACATTTATAAAAATTTCCAAAAAAGTCGATGAAATTTTCAAATTATCGATCCCCCAAAATATCGGCGGGAACAATCGATAAAAAATTTCGCAAATCCGGAAGAAATAAAAAAAAAAACACTTGTTTTATGAACAATATCGATACAACTATCGATACCTACAAAATACAGGATAGTAATCGATTATCGAACCCTCACCCAGTCCACGATACTTTTCGTTCCAAAAAACTCTTTCCATTAATCGTTAAAAATAGAGAAAAAATAAATTATCATGTGGAGAAAATTCTCAATCCCCTCAATCATCATTTCTTCAATTTTCCCTACTCTCCTCCGACTATCCTCAATTTTAATCTAAGTGATTATTTCCAGAGTGCCCTAACCTCCAAAATTTATACACCCAATGGAGTAGCCAGTGCTGGTGATCGGATCGGGTGCAACTCCTTCTCTAATAAAAAAAATTGTCCTAGAAATAAAAAAAACTCATCACCGACGATGATATTTGAACAGTTAATGTGACATTGTGTTTATTTATTTAATTTTTTAACGCTTTATTTATTCGTGGAGTGAAGTTTTCAGAAATATCTCATCAGTGATTGTTAATGCATATGTAGAGGATTTGCAGTGACGAGGCAGGTCGAAGTTTAATGTAGATACTTTAATTAATTACTGCTGGCGACGTTCTCCATCAAGACGTAAGATTATTTCTCATTTACCATTTTTTTGTTCCATACAATTCATTTCGTTTCCTTCATTTTATTTCCTTCATCTCAAAACCGTAACTGGACTCTCTTCACAGATGAAATGTTCCATTTATTCCGGTTCTATTGTCTATTTCTTCTCTAATTAAAGGTTTTCTCATAACCTGCTTCTCGATTTCTTAATTAATTCCATATTCTAGTGTTTTTTTAATCAATTATTATTTAAAAAGATTGTTAAATCATTGTCGGGAATTTCCTTAGAAGAAATTCGAAGATTGCAGTAAACAATTTATTACAATTGATTAAATATCTCTGGCTAAATTTTGACTGAACACTGATTAATTTTTGATTGAGTCCCGATTAAGCTCCGACTGAAAATCAATTCGAGTTTTGAAAAAATTGTCAGATTTCACCATTCTATCAGCCCAGGAATCGAACACGGAACCTATCGGCTGTGATCTATCAATTAAATTCACTGAATAATATGGAAAAATTCTGTTGATATTTCAATTAATTAAAGAAATCAGAAATAAAAAACTATTAATTTCTCCATTTATTTTGCTAATTTACTTTCCTCTTGTTTCAGAAAAATGAGTAATTTACAAAATCCTCATGTGGTAGCTGTCGCTCTGGGGGCAACAATAGGGGTAATTAGTGCTGCTAGTCTATTTATTTACCAGAAAGTCATGGAACACAAGGAAAGAACGACTATGATGAATAATTTGGAGAGTGTTAACAGACGTGTTTCTGAATTACAAGTGGAATTGGAAAATTTGAGGTGATTCTCGTTTTCACATTTATTCTCCACTGATTTTTTTAAATAGATGACGTCCAAAAAAATATTTCGAAACCCGTTCCTCCACGGTCATTCCTTTTCGTAGGAAAATTTATTCAAGGACTTATATGCCGTGCGATTTTTAATATATATTCTTCAAAATGTGATTATGCTTTCAGAGTTCAGCAGAATCAATTGAGAGCAAAGAAATCGAAGAATTCGAATCGCAAGCGCGTCACTTCATCAGCGAGTTTGTACTCAGTAGGTACCGAGAACGAGATTGATGCTGTTTCAGTAACTGAAACCGACCTAGACGATGAGTTTTACGACTGCTCCGATGATGAACTCACTACTGTAGACTTCGAACTTAACGGGTTTGTAAAACCATTAACTTCAGTGCACGATTGTCGCTCAAGAAAAAACACGTTTACAGGAATTTATCATTTAAATTTGTTGTACCCAATTCGACAGTCTATAAACAAAGTGTTTTGGACCTTTCTTTCGACATTCGTTAGTTCTCGAGACATTGGCAATGTGAACTCTGATGATTTTTAAAATTTTTCAATTTATAAATTTTTCAATTTTTTGATTCTTCAATTTTTATTATCTTTTTATTATTTTGACTTACACTCAATCCATGAAGAACAAGTGATATATTCTAGTGATGCAGGACAGCTGGAATAATGTTGGAACTAACGAGCCAACTCGATACCCTAGACGAGAAGATCGAGAAGAGTGAATTTCTCGAGGAGGTCTTGTGTGATCTGAGGGCACTGGCCATTTTCCATGAGGATAATGTCGATGTTGCTTGGAGGTTGGCCAGGGCTTGCTTCAAAAATGCTGCTGACTTGACTGATACCTCGAGACAGGATGCACTCGTCCTTGAAGGTGAATTTTTCCCAATCCTCTAAATAGAAAGGAGGAATAATTAAATCTTGTATTGCAGGGATGAAAATATGTGAAAAAATACTTGAAATGGAACATGTGGAGGTGCACAAGTGGTATGCCCTTCTAGTGGGTCTCAGATCTGAGTATTTGCCCACAAAAGAGAAACTCAAGGCTGGAAAAGTGTTTGAGAAGCATTTAAACCGTGCTTTGGCGATGACACCCCACGATCCCGTCTTAAATCATCTCCTAGGGAGATTTCAGTACGCTGTTTCGAATCTCAGTTGGATCGAGAGGAAGGTTGTACACATTTATATTTTTTTTTCCTTTAGCTTTCTGACTGAAAATGAGAAAAAACCATTTTTTTTTGTTGAATAATCTCAATAATTTTTTTTTTAAGATTCTTCAAATATTATCTTTATATTTTTGGAAAAACTGTTACATTATTTTAAGAATTATTTGAGTAGTTAAGATTGTGAATATGTCCCTTTTGTATTTAGGTTTGCGCAACACTTTTCGGAGAAGCCCCAACGTCGACCTTCGAGGAGGCGATAAAATCTCTGGAGAGAGCTGAGGGGCAAATGAGGGCTCCTGATCTGGAGAACAAGTACTTCCTGGGGCAGGCGTATTTACAAGTAAAGGCCTACAGAAAGGGGGTGGAATTGCTCACCCAAATTCACGACCTGCAACCAAAAAACAAGAAGCAGGAGAAAATGCAGGCAGAAGCCCAGAGACTCGTATCAAAATATTCAAGTTACTGCTGATAGATAATCCCATTCGAGTCTCCATTACGATCCAATTAGTCTAGGAATCGAGATACAGGAAAAATAATAATAATCCAATAAGAATCGAAATTGAATTACTCGATTCACCGGGGATGCAATCGTGCCAATCGTGGGAGCTTAAACTATTTGGTTTTTAATCTTTCAATTATTTAATTGGGTAAAATGAATAAATAAACTGGGAAGAGCCTGTGGGGAACTGAGGTAGCATTTTTTGTAATTTTAACACATTCCTGTTTTTTTGTTTAATGAAAAACAGTTTTAATTTATCGTTGAGTACAAAGAGTTTAGTGCACTGAATGTTGGAATATTGTTTATAATTTTATTCAGCTCTTGTGGGTTTAATGACTTTAATTCCCGAGTGGCCATAGGAATATTTGTTAAGGTGCTGGTACATTGTGAGGTAATATTTTATCGTGAAGTGAACGAATTAATGCGATGTGAATTGTAATAAATTGTTGGGTGTGATGGTAATGCGCAATGGCTCGAGTAGTCTTTTTATATTTCAATAAAGTGATGTCGATGAATTGTGAATTGCTTTCACTGATTGATTTTATTATTTTCTCAATGTGCTATAACAACAATTTTATTTCAACTTCATGAATCATAACATTGAATTTTCTACAAAGTTATTAATTTATTTAAAAAATCCCTCGGTTCGTTTCTCCTTGTGCTTAGCCTACGTGACTGGGTTTCACTGATTAACAATGCAACTGATGGCCACAAAAATGTCTGTGCCCCATTCCAATTGCACTTGCACTTCGAGGTGAAATTAAAATTAATTGGTTTAATATTTTTCTCTAGTTTGAGACGGTATGACACTTTTAGGACTGATGATTCTTCGATTAATCTACTTGAAAAAATCTGACAAGAATCTGTAGCGAAGGTGTGAATTGCAGAAGTTAAATCGACAGCTTATTTCACCCATTGCGGATATAATTGAACAATTAATAACAGATGTTTGAAGAGATTCTCGTGAATTTAAAATTAGTTTAGCTCTTCAGTTTTCGATGTGGCAGACGACCCAAACAGTAAACAGATCGACAACTGATCAATAACGGGGCACAGTCTTTCGAATAAAGTACAATTTTTATGTTTAATAAGTAGAAACAATTCAGGACTCTCACATTTATCATCAACGTTCGATAAATTTTACAATTGGAAATCTAACGCCATCAATATTTTTTATTAATACAAAAATTATGCGATTATCGACTGATCAGGCTTACGAAGTAATCAGCTTATTGTATCGTTTTTCCGTTATCACAGATGGTTTTCAAAAATCAATTTTCTATCATATAATCTTCTTAAATTGTTGGTAATTAGTTTCTTATGCTAATTTAGGTGATGACAAGCTCCTTGTCTCCTCTCACAGAGTTTATTTGTATGAGGCCCACATGAAACCCATTTATTGGGAAATGAAGGGCTATTGTGCACTACAATCTGGGAGGATTGTCATTTGCGCTCGACAGATCAAGCCAACATCACGTCTCCAAGTTGGGAAAGAGACGAGTCAGGACGAAATAGGCAACATCGTAATTATTCCAATAGGCTGTGTGTGCCCTCACTGTGTACAAGTAATTCCGACCCATTCCACCTGCCCGTAGCACATAATCCAGTCGTTGTTCCAATTCTGTAATTTTTTTATTATATAATTTATTCATTAATCAACATTACAGATTCGATCGCTTCGAGAATTCACAATCTGCAAATATAATTCACCTTTTTTTGGTAATGAATTGATCAGAAAAAAATCGAATTAGATGCTAATCATTTCGCAATAAAATTGAATATTTTGTCATTAATTGTGAATTTAACGGGATTAATTACCTTCGTCGGGACCGATTGGATTAACGTCCGTAGTATCCACTTCCCTAGTGTTCCAGCCAGCTCTGACGAGTCCCCAGAAACTCCAGCCCCTCTCTACACTTCGATTCGGAGTTTCCGTCGGACTTTCTGTTTCTCTCTCGTCATTGTCTACAAGATAATATCGAATTAGAATGATGAAATAAAAAAAAAACATTTAATTAAATTCAATTATTCTAAATAAAGAAATTAATTCAAAACAATTTCCAGATGATGGGTGCGATGGGATGGGATGTGTGAGATTCAATGATTTTTTATAATATAAAATTTATAAAAATAATTAGGAAAAGTACCTGAGGTGGGCATAGGGCTTTCCCCATTCCCTAGAGTGACCGGTGGTGCCTCAATTTGTTGTCCATCGACTCCCCCATAGGGTAGAATCCTGACAGGATCAATTTTCCTGTATCCCCTAACGAGAAGTGGTTCCATTCTGTATGCGACAGGATCAGACCAGTGGAAAATATTGTAAAACCTCCTGCACAATCCTGGGGGCATAACGTCAACTCTGTTAGAGGGAGTTCTGGTGCGCAGAGCTAGAAATACTGAGAGAGGTGATCCCAGACAGAACATGTTCTCAATAGTGAACTGAAGGCCATCAGCAGCGATTTCCTGAGTAGTAGGGGATGGTGGCCGTGTGTCTGGACCCATCCAACCTGTCACGATATCGTACACAATGACACAACCCAGGGAATGGGCAAGCACTGAAACTTTACCCTTCCAGTCTGGGTGTCTGTTGATGAATTTACAGTAGAGACGATTCAATTCTCTCTGGAGACCTGCACGCACTTCTCCACCGTAAAGAGGACTCGTGTAATAGAGAATGTCCATTGCTGAAGAGTTGAGCAGATGACGAATGCTCAAAACGCTGTATGGAGTTATTGCATCGACTATGTCACCATCCAATTTCAGAGAGGAACGCCATTCAACTGGAAAAAACTCCACTCGGTGAGCTGTCGATGAAAAGTACTCTTTTCTGCACCAGTCCACGCAGTCTCGAAACCTAAAAAAATACATCATTTATCAACTCACTAATATTTCAACAATTTTTCTCAGAATAAATATTTTATTATTTGAAACCTAAAATTTTTCTTTGCAATTTATTCTGAGGAGAGACTATTAAATGTCCCCCCGAGGAAGTCAGTAATAATTTAGCTAATCCACACCATGGTAATATCTTACAACTGAGGACATTCCCATGCCACAGCTGATTATAAGCCAATGCAATGAGATCATGATTTCAAGGCCTAAACGAGGAAAAATCGAGGGAAAAATATAGCCTAGAACAGTGAAATGATAATTGGCGGAGCCTCTCCCTGTCTCTCCCTGTCTTTCCCCGTCTCTCTCTCTGTCTCCCTTCCGGATAGTTCATCGCAGATTGAATTGATTCGAAAATAACTTACAGCGCAGTATTGCGGATAATTTTCTGAGTATCTCGTTTTTGTCCTATTCCGTGCACGACAAACACGAGATGATCGATGTCGTTAGGTTTATCGGTCATTAAGGCATTCACTTTGTATCCTCTCCTCAATTGGTATCCACTCGCTGAAATTATTCAAGAATTCATATAATTTTTCTAATTGACTATTCTTTTTTTTCGAGTCAATGCGGCTATTGTCTGAATTTCCCAGAAAATTCGATGAATTTTCTAAAACTAATAGTAAGAAAATGATAAAAATATTATAATGAAATTAAATTCTCAGATACTCTTTAATGGAATGAAATTCTAAAGACCAAACAAACAACTTAATAAATGCCATAAATGTGTGGGTGAAGAAAGAGCTCATAAACTCAGGGTAAAATGACAAAAAAAAACGGGTGCTCTTCGAAAATTACGTAAAATGTAAAACAACAAATTACTCTTGCTGAATCCTAATCTGGATGTCACACTGCGCATTAATTTACTAGTTGTGTATTCACTATAAAGTGCTACATCGTTGATCGCGTGCCAGTCGACATGAAACTCTGGAAATCGCTCAGTGTGGAGAACTGCCAGAGGAAAAACATATAAGGTAATAAATAAATGGGTCAAAAAAATAGGATCTTTATCGAAAAGAGTTGAGGGTTACCTCTGTAGGAGTGAGATGGAGAGGCCTGTTCTGGAGTTGAACCAGCAGTTGAGTTGTTTCTCTTCTCGAAGAGCCTCAGGTGGGCCTCTTCTATCACCCTCGAGTGCTCTAGCTCCAGGGGAATTCCACTCGCCTCATAGTACCACGTACCTCTCATTATCTCGCATTCTTCCCCTGCAATCACAAACAACGATTTTTTTTAAATACCGCAATGAAAAAGTAAACACTCACTAGTTTTTGAAAAATATCTCTAAAACTATTACAGATAGCAAAATTTTCATAAAGGTCATTTTTATTAAGTCGAATGAAAACTGAAAAATCGTTTCTACAAAATTTTTTCTATCTTCCTTAGAATCAGAGATATTCCTGGAAAACTCGACTAGCGAACAATTGAACTTTCTATTCTTTGCTTGTTGGTTGCTTTTTATTTTAAATTTTAGTTTGACCAAGTGGTCGAATTAAAATAAATGTGGTCTGATTTTCAAGGTCGAAAAGAAAACATGAAAATCAGTGGGAAAAAAAAGATATTTCCCTCAGCCATTCCTAAGATATTCATCACAGAAAATCGTCTAGTAAGCACCAGTGCTACATGTTTTTTCTCGTTAGTAGATAAACGACTGATAAAAAAAATTGATAAATCGATTCGATTAGTGCTGATGCGTCAGTTTCATCATAATTCCACACGTGCCGAAGAACATCATGCTTAGCTCAGAAATACACACTTGAAGAGCATACAAATGGTAATTTATTTATTCTGAAAGGAAATAGCTGATAGAGAAAAATGGCATTTCCGTAGTCAGAGGAATATCTGTCAGTATTACATAACGATTTAACGAAAAATTTTATGTGGCGCCCCAGGTTCAATCCGGAGAATGGAGTGATTACAGAGATTATTCCTCCTTTTGTGAATTTCAATTGCAAACTTATCCTCTATCAATTCACAAATGAAAAATTCAATAGATTGATCTAGTACTATTTTCTATAAATTCTGTAGAATTCCCGTTGTAAAATAATTCCAAGTTGACTAGAACTTTAATAGAAATTCAATTTTAACATCATCTTTCTCATGGAATAACTATTTCAATAAAAAATAAACTCTGGGAACTAGAAGAGAATTTTAAGGAGAATTCGCTACAATTCTCACAAGATCGTGCCAAAAATTAATCAGAATTATTTTTCTATAGGATTTTGAGCTTTTGGCCTTGTCTCGTTAGGAAAAAAATTCATTGGAAATCGAGAGAACGCCTCTATTTATCTAGTTAATGCGCGATACCTATATAGCTAACGCATGCCAAAGGAAATTGACAATAATAACTTCAAGGACACCCCACAATTTCTAGATAGGACCGATGCGCAAGGAAATAGCAACTAATTTCTTGGAAGCCTCAAGCTAAGCCAACAATACCCGATAAAAGCCTTATCAGTCAATTCTAGTGTTTAAGAATGTTCCACGTCCTTATATAATAAAAATTTACGTTTTTAAAATTTATTTTATGTAAAAAAATATAACGTTTTTGGGTTTTGTCATTATTTAATGGCTCACGCAATCTTGTGGTGGTCCGATAATTTTTATGCGTTCTCTCTCTAGTTTTGTGATTCTTCCCACAAGTTTAGAAAAAACGCGGAAAAATGTGGGAATTTTAATTTTGGAAATAAATGGATGTGGAAAGACCGCTGATGTCTGCCGCTAGAGAATAACAAGAATAATGTTAAATTCTGAAATAAATTGAATTCTTCACACTACTTCCTTTCCCGCGCTGTTAGTATTACGAAATATTGTGAATGAATAGACATCAATCCAAGGCTACACTGAACTCGTTGACATTTCATACACTGAATCCATGAATTGATGAATTAGAAGGGAGAATTTAGACTTAAACAGACAAACTGCTTTATTAAAATAACTGTAGATCAAAGGTTCATCAGTCGTTCGTCATTATCTCGGTAATAAAAAGTTTTTAGAGGAAATAGCAGAGCATTTTTTTAAGCTGATAGAATTTCCGATAAAACACTCTAATGGGACTTTGCTCTCAGGCTGTTCATCTACGTGATAATTAACTATTAATTGTCAGGGGAAATTGAGTAGGAGAAAAAGGGATGAATTTTTACGGTGTGATTTTTCCGGAATATCTCAGATCTGAGGTGTTGTAGGGAAAAATGTGAGAGGAATCATATTCGATTAGTCAAATTTTCAAGAAAAATTATTTTTATACTTATTATCGTGTACAGGCTTATTGTCGAGATAATGCAGTATTTAAAGGATGAAGTGATAGTTCTTAAATTCTAATAAGTGAAATTAAATTACCTGCCCAAAATATGGAGACACATTTCATGTCATCGAGGGTAACATCGTACATGCCGCCTTTGACAACCACTCTCTCGCAATCATTGTCGATTTCATTCGCATTCCTCTCTTTTTCCGATTTATTTCGCCAGGCATTTTCAATCCTGAGACTGTCGTACCCACAAAATTCCACCCATCTCTTGTCAACTTGATCTTTGTAGAACCATCTTATCTCTTGCGGTGTAAGAGGCTCAGCATAGGGCTCTTCCCCTGTGTCCATTCCATTTTGTACTAGAGAGTCCACCTCGATTTCTGTTTCGTGAAGAAAAATATCTCGTGAAAAATTTATCTCAGAAAAATTTTTGTAAGAAATTGTTTTAATCTGAATGAAAAATATGATCACTTTGCACTGAATAAAAAATCTCAAGCCAAAAAATCCAACTCTCAAAAACTCCTTTGTAATTATTAATTATCTCATTACTGCGAGCAGATGAAGACGAATGTAAAATGAATTTCCTGTGGGAAATTTCGTAATTCAAATAAAAAATTTTATGACTTTTTTCTCCAAACCTGACAGTTCCCGAAGGAGACGCGAACCACCCTCCATGAACCAGGAAAATACCATTTCCAATTAGAACTTTTTAATTGCTAAATATCTCAGTAACGAGTCGAGTTGGCGAAAATATTATAAATGAATTTCCCGTAGGAAATTTATTAATTTAAATAAAATATCTTGTCGCTTTTTTCACTAAGCGCGACCGTTTCCAAAATATTCGTAAGCAAAGTTTTTTAAATAATTTTTTGTTGAATAAGTGAATGTTCAGTATTTGAAACGAATGAAGGGACTGACTTAAAAGTATATTCTCTCACTTTCCTCTCTATAAACCGTTGTTTTAGAATGGTCAGGTAATTATCAAACTCAATATTTAAAAATCATTGCCAACAATGCAAACGATATCTGCTATTCTAAATCCATCAATTCAGCATTTCCCGTTGTAAATTCATTTGAACAAGAGAACAAAGTACCAATTGACACAATTGGACATGAAAAAACCCAGTCAATTATTTCAAACACTCTCAATCGCTCATTCATTCGATCAGGATATTTATAGAATTACAATTAAGTAGATAAAAAATCTGTAGCACGTGCCTAACACTTTGAAAAGGTTTATATTTTTTAAATCTCATCGTTTATTCTCAACAAAAGAATGCTAAACCATTCTCTTTTGAATGATTCATTCCTCGAGAGATAATAAATAATTCCACATAAAAAATATTCCAACTTTATACTAAACAGATAATTTTGAGAAATTATTAAAATGATTCTAGTCCGAATTTTTCATGATTTTTATTTTATTGTTCAGATGAATATCCTCTCGGGTTTTTTACATTTTGTTACCCTCCCTTTTTATCATATTTTCCACTGGAATCATTACCTCCCGAGATAATCGCAGGTTTGAATCTAAAAATTAAATAATATTGTTTAAATTTTCCCGCATATTTATTACACTCACAGAAAAACCTCCGAGGACTTTTTTCATCGAATTTCTCCCCAGAAAAATTTCTTCCCAGGGCAATCAATAATTTAAAATCCCCCCTCCCCAAAGAAGCCTTAAAAAATAATTACTCATTAATTATTTCAAAACACCGAGACCTACATCTAGCTTGTAAATAAAAATTATAATGAAGTACTGGAACATGTGTGCAGCACGTGAATGCTGTCATCTCCCATTCGGTCACAAAACGTAATTCCTTCGATCACCTGACCGATCCCCCCCATTAACTTCAAAACAATGATCCCCTCCCCCTCATTATCCGACAAACACTAACCTAAAACCGCCAAAAACCGCGAAAAATACCTTCAATTCTCGGATTTTCCAGAGGTGTCTCACTGAATGGCTCGATGTCAGCGAATAATTTATCGGACATCCTTCCCGTGTCACACCACAACCCAAACAATCACCACCTCAAAAAACCCCTCCCCCAACAAACCCCTCAAAATGAACGAAAAAATTAAAAAAAAAAGAAAAACAAAACAGAAAATTCTGTGTAAAAAAAGGAAACCGAACTGTCACGCGCAACGACTGGCCGCTGTCTGCATTCCACTGCCAACTGCACTGCACTTTAACCCCCCCCAAGTCCTCCCCTCGTTTTTAACCCTGTTATTTATCAAATCTAGAATCTTGAAATTCAATTTATCCACCAAGAACCATCAGGAATGCACTTCTCGGTGGTTTTTAATCGTTTTTATCGACCGATGAATCTCGCAACTCTCGTCAAAATCTTATCTGATACTGCAACACATCTGAAACTTCGAGGAAACACCGACTTCCCCCTTCTCCCTATCACCCCCACCAACCCCTTCCCGCGTGGACCCCACCACTCCACCACCCACTCAAACCCCCTCCACCTGCTTCTGCAGCACTACAATTCTAGGGTTTATGTAACATATTTTTTTTATCGCTCTTTATAGTGGATCACGAATTTTAGGGTGGGGGGATGTGTGCAATTGCAGACGTATTTTTTTTGCGCAGTTGCTGAATGATTTGTCAATGAATCTTGGGGTTTTTCATTCCGTGGGATTCTGCTTTTTTTTTTCTTGTGCAGTCCGGAGAGGGTGGCGTGGGAGAACTCATGAATCATCAAGAGATGATCAGGGTATTTAATATCAAGGGGGTAATTCCTATTATGGGGATTGAATCCACGTGGATGAATTGATGAGCGAATTTCATAGAAAAAATTCGAAGGGAATTTTATTGAGAATTTTGTTTATGAAAAATTCTTGGTGGAATTATATTCTATTTTAATTTACTCAATGATGAAAAATTTAATTTAATGACTGTTTCAATGAAGGAATTGTTTACATTCTACATTCTACGGTAGATCTTTTGGTAATTTAACAACAATCTTTTTACATATCAATTTTTAATCATTGAAAATTCAAAATCCGACTTTTCAATTGTAAAATTTATTGAACGTCGATGAGAAATCGGTAAATGAATCATAGAAAAGATGTAAATAAAACAATAGTAATCCTTAAATCGATTTATATTTTATAAACAGTAGAGAAATACCATGACAATTATCATTAAGTTATTTCATATGATTTAGGTAATCTAGACGTTAATTTCTTATGTATTTTTGTGTTATAACAGATTGTATCGAGAAATCTGGGAATTTACTCGTTGTGACCAGCTGCTTTACGTAGAAGGACGTAGATTTTCTCTTTGATCCAATCCTTATTGTACGGTGCATAGGTATTCGTTGTTCTTTGGTAGACCAGACACGAGAGGTCTGTCAGCTGATCAACGAAATCAAATAATTGACTAATGTCGTATGTTATCGTCGGTGTGTTGGGGTTTTTCTTTTTCAGGTGCTCTTCATATATCTTGCAGACACCTACCGAAATACCATATATTATGAGTTTTTTAGAAATCGAAATACGATAATTGATCAATTATTTCTGATTGGATCCTTTCAGATTTTTGCGAATATCTTGGAATGTACTGGAGATAGGGAAATTTTGTGGGTAACTTTTTTGTGGAGATTTTGAAAAGCTACAACAAAGGTTCTGTCAAGTTTTTTCTAGCTTCGCTATTTCCGGAGATAATTTCACGTGAAGGGAAGAGGAAAATCTTCTAGATCGATAACAGTAATGGAGAACAACAGATCGTCGATCGACAATAATCCGAAAAGGGCTGAGTAAAATTACTTGAGAATTATCTCATTCAAAAGATATTTTTCCAGGTTTTGGAATGAGAATGTACTTGAGAGAATTTGATTTAAAATTCGTTCGGTGATGAGATATTTGAAATTTAATTTTTGGTCTCAGCGATGAAATTTGATCTGGAATGTGGGGTTCTCAATTTTCATTAGTTGCTGTCACTTGTTCAATGAAATGTTAATTGAACGTACCTTCCATGCATTCATTTATGCTCTCGTAATCGGAGTAAGTCCTGGTCTCGGGTCTGTTTCCAGGTTGAACCAACAGAATCGTGTGCGACTTAAAGAAAAGCAAAAATGAAATCCAAAACAGAGACTCGACTCCATATTGGGTCACAGATTACAAACATAAACAGACTCCAAAACGTCGGATTAAATTGTTTAGAGTCCTCAAATGTCGATTGAATATTTACCATTTTGTTCAACTGCTTTTCCTAATTCTAAAGAAATAAACAATTCTCCAGAAAAAATGTGCTGCCTCTGAAATTGGAGATCCTTGAAAATTTTCAAGTGTTGATGGACAACCAAACGCCTGCTTCGATACGATGAATCTAACCACAAACTTCAATTTATTTGAACCTAAAATTTCCCAATTTTTTCTATTGGTCGAATCCTTGCCGCCGAATTCTCATGAGCGACACTGCACTTGCAGTTTTCCCAGTTTTCAAATCGACTGGATAAATGATTTTTTTTAATTATAAAGGTTTTTTTTTGCCATTCGCAAAAAATTTTATCTTTCTAGTCAATAAAAATTCTATCAATTTTTAGGCAAGTAATGGAATATAGAAAATTCGCTTCTTTGAGAACGTGTAAAAACATATTTGATTAAATGACCAGAGAAAACTTAAAAAATAAAAGATTTTATTTCGTAGAAGTCTCCGTATTTTTTCAATGACGAATCGACCTCAGAATTCAGAGGGGACATAAAAATTTTTATAATGATCTGTTCTGCGGCTGGAAATGCATTATACAAAAGAAGTAATAACAAAATTTTGAGTACCCGCTTCAGATTCAGAGATATCCCTCCAAAACTCAAAGCAATGTCAAAATAAAATTTCGAAAATTCTCCCTGTATTTTTATTTTCTGTCCGAAAATCCAAAAAAGTCCAACCCGAAAAAATTCCTTTCAAATCTGCCGCCCCCCAAACTCCCTAGACTAGTGACTTTCACTGCTCTACAGTCCCCCGCAAAAGCCCCCCACCCAAACTTCTCAACTCGCCTGTACCCCGTATATCGTCAGCTCATCGGCTGCATTTTCGAATAAAAAAAAACGCCAAAACCCCGACCCAATCAATTATCACCCCGCGATAACCGTCACCCAG